GCCCCGCACGACGAGTTGTGAGCGGCTCAGAGACTGGTCGGAGCTCTCCACGCTCCCCTGATTCTATTGGACGCCTCGGGGGCGCGCCGCATGTCACGCATTCCACAACATCCAACATTGCATCAACAAGCGGCGGCGGCGTCCGGCGATATTGCCGGATTTGGGCCAATGCACAAAACAACCCGCAGCACCGGCGCGCTTCGGCCCATGGGGGAGTAGTATCGGCCAGAGGGTCTGCGCGCACCGTTTTCTCACATCTCAGTCCTTTTTGTGCGCCCCAGAGATGTGCTTTAAACGAACGTCAACAAACGAATCGCTCCTCCGGCAGGGGGGCGCACACTCGCAGGCCCGAGAGCGGCCGAGTGGCCAAGGGCCCCGCGCCGTGCAGGGGGCCGGGCCACACGACCAGGCCCCCACGCACCGCGCGCTCAATGGTTCTCTCGCGAACTACACACTCCACACAGAGACGCACAAACAATAACGCGAGACATGGCGCGACGACGCCAGTAGACAGACGATCCCGCTTGCATGCTCAGCGTTCCATCCTCGGCGGCTGGCTCTCCCGCGCCGCCGCCTCTCAGCTCTACCTGCTGTCGCGCGAGTACCACACGCACCACGCCAGCCTGCGGGTAGAGGCGAGGGGCGGGCGAGGGTCGGTCGCGTGGCGCAGTGCGGGGCGCAGGCGCGTCGCTGCGCGCGGTGGTGTGCGGTGTGTGCCGGGGCGGGGCGGCGGGGGAGCGGTGTCCGCGGCACCCGACGAGCACCAGATAGCAGACGAGCATCCACCTGCGGGAGAGGCGTCGGGGAGAGAGGCGTCGGGGAGAGAGGCGTCGGGGAGAGAGGCGTCGGGGAGAGAGGCGTCGGGGAGAGAGGCGTCGGGGAGAGAGGCGTCGGGGAGAGAGGCGTCGGGGAGAGAGGCGTCGGGGAGAGAGGCGTCGGGGAGAGAGGCGTCGGGGAGAGAGGCGTCGGGGAGAGAGGCGTCGGGGAGAGAGGCGTCGGGGAGAGAGGCGTCGGGGAGAGAGGCGTCGGGGAGAGAGGCGTCGGGGAGAGAGGCGTCGGGGAGAGAGGCGTCGGGGAGAGAGGCGTCGGGGAGAGAGGCGTCGGGGAGAGAGGCGTCGGGGAGAGAGGCGTCGGGGAGAGAGGCGTCGGGGGGAGAGGCGTCGGGGAGAGGCGTCGGGGATAGCGACGCCGGGGAGAGGCGTCGGGGAGAGGCGTCGGGGAGAGAGACGCCGGGGAGAGGCGTCGGGGAGAGCAGGGGAGGAACCCACCCGTCCTCCTCCTCCCGCTCCGCCACCGGGATGGGCCAGCCGTGCTCTCCTACACACGAGCAAGAGGAGGCGTCGGCGGGCGCGCGAGCAGCGGAGCGCGACCGCCCTGCTGCGCTCTCGCCCTCTTGCGACTTTGCGCCCTTTCGCGGCGACTTAGCCGCCCTCGGCGCGCCGGGAGGCGGTTGCAGCCGCGGGTCGGGCGGGTCGAGGCCGACGGTGGGCGGGGAGTCGATCTCCGGGTCGGAGAGGGAGCCTTGCGAGTCCTCGAGCGAAGCGATGTGCTGCTGCAGCCGCTCCGGGAAGTACTTTCGGTCCATGCCGAGCAGCTTCTGGATGACGTACGAGATCGGGTTCGCGTCGCTCGCGCCGGGCTGCGACGCGTCCGCGCCGCCTAGCAGCCAAGGAGAGCGAGTCGCTACTCACGCCGCCCAGCGGCCATGAAGAGCAATCGCTGCTAACCAGCAGCAGCAGCAGACCGAAGCCTTCCTCCTCCGCGGCGGCCGGGCGACGGGTGGTGGGTGGGAAGGGGCTGGGACAGCCTCACCGTCGGAGTGGAAGAGGGGCGAGGCGCGCATCGCGACGACAAAGGGCTGCATGAGGAGGACCTTGGCCATTGCGTTCTGGAGGTTCGTGGCGCAATGCTTGTCGTGCTTCTTTGCTATCTTGAGCACCGCGAGGTAGTTGAGGATTAGCCACCGCAGGCACGCGTGCACCTGCTCCGTTTATGTGAGGATTAGCCACCGAGGCCCGACAGCGACGCCAACTCGCCAGAGACGGATGTGTGGGCCGAGGTGTGCACCTGCTCCTCTTGCTGCTGGCGGAGGTACGGCAGCTCCTCAGTCGCTCTTTCCCGATCGAGCAGCTCCTTCTCCTGCCGCAGCCAGAACGCGTTGATCGACTGCAGGTCCTCGCGGATGATCTTCTTGAAGTGGCCCGTTTGGAAGATGGAGGTGATCTCGTGGCTCGCGAGCCTAGGCTTCGAGGGCCGGGTTAGGGCCTGGATTGAGCTTGCGTCCAATACACCGAACGCGAGCCTGCTCTTGATCAATTTCTTTAGCTGCTTGTACCTCAGCCTCGGCCAGTCGGGCGTCCCGGCCAGCTCGAGCTGGTACAGCCGGCCAAACTTCATGCGTCCAGCGAGCGATCAGCGCCGTTCTGGCGCACTTGATCCAAACCTACACACAGTGTCCTCACCTCCACCAGTCGAAGGTGGTGGAGCCGCTGCTAAAGCCGTCGGTGTGAGGGGAGTGCAAAAAAAAAGGCGTGGCGCATTGCTGAACCCTCCCGTACGTGCTTGTGCTTCCTCCTTCGCTGTCCCATCTCCTCATCTCTTTCCCGCCTGGGCGGGGCGGTGGGCGGGCGCGCGGTGCGGCGTGGCGTGTGCGTGTGTGCGACTGCAACGAAGGACCGCTCGCAGAGGACCATTGGGTTTGTACTATTAACAACGAAGGCGCTCTCAAAAAGAATTTTACTACTCGTATGTGGGAAGGCGAAGAACAGCGCTGAGTACTTATTAAATGAACTCGGGGGCACAGGACGCGGCACAAACGGGGTACTCACTTGAAGAACAGCCCAGGCACGAACAGAAAAAGAAAAAGTGCGCCGCACCAAACCCATCGGCTGGGTGCGGCCAGCTGTCGGGTTCATATCCGCGACCCGTGAGCCCTGCTCATCGACTTGACCGCCGTTGACCGCCCGCGCCCCGCCCCTTTTGCGCAGCAACACCTTAAACTTTTCAGGCCCTCCAAATTCGGGTCGAGCGTAGCGGAGTGGGCCCCGAGTTTGAAATTGGGCGACGGACGCTTGCGTCCTAGCCTCCAACAATGCCTCCCCGGCGCAGAGGGGC